GAGCGAGGGCAGAGGCGGCGGGTCCTGGGACAGGGCAGGCTAGGATTCTGGGACATGATAGCGCGCGGATTTCTGGCACAGTGGCCAGAGGCGGGCTCTGGAAGGACGGAGGTAGATCTGGACATGCTAGCCGGTGGGTTTCTCGGCACAGGGCAGCCAGGCGGCTCTGGACAGGGAGGGCAGGATAATTCACTGGGACATGATACGTGGGTTCTGGCACAGAGGTCGACGGCGGCGCTCTGGACAGGCGAGCAGTAGAATCTGGGACATGATAGCCGGTGGCCGTCTGCGCACAGCGACCGGGACAGAGCGTGGGTCTGTGGACAGCGGAGCAGGTAAGATTCTGGGACAGGTGACTACGTGGTTCTGGCACACGGCAGAGGCGGCTCTGGGAGCAGCGGAGCAGTGTAGATTCTCAGAACGGGGGTGGGGTGCGGATTCTAGGCCTTCACAGTAGGAGGCGGATTCTGAGGTCAAGGACCAGGCGGAGAAGAACTGCACTCACACGAGGAGTTGGGGGGGCCGGGGCAACCGGGGACAAGAAGGACCGCAAGCTGGCGGCAGCCCCCCCATCGCACCCACTGCACCGGCGCCACGGTGTGCCCCACAACCACACCAGCCGCTGCCTCCCCAGGCCCGCGCCAAGCGCCGCTACTCTGAGCGGCCTCCCCGGCACGCCAGCCACCCCTGCGGGCTCTCCCTTCCTCCCCTCGCTCCCGGCCGGCGCAGAGCCGGACCCGCGAGGGCTGGGCGCACGCTCGGCCCCTGAGGGAGGCGCGGCAGGCCTGCCGGGCGCGCAGAGCCGAGCAGGAGCGGCGCATGCTCGCAGCCCGGGGACAGGAACCCGCCTGGGAACATCGGACCTGTCGCGGTATGCGTCCCGCCCCGTGCCCGAGGGCCGCAGACGGCAAGGTGGGGTCCCGGGCGCGGGGCGCGGGGCGCGGGCAGCAGGCGCGAGGGGACCGAGACGGGGAAGCGGCGAGGGGGACGAGAGGCCCACGCCGCGGCAGGCGGCAAGAGGGGGGATGCGGCCACCGCGCGGCTGGCGCCTCGTCGGTGCGCGGGCGCGTCTCCCGCCGGCGGGCGCAGCGTGCGGTGGCGCTGGGGTCCCGCCCGCCCCCGGCGGCCCGACCGCCCCGCGGCGCCGGCGGCATGTGGGGAGTTGTGGTCCCGGCGCCAGCGGGGCGCACATCGCGCTCGGCACCGCGCGCGGCTCCGGCCGGGCTGGGGCCGGGCTCGCTGGCGGCGTGGGCCGGCGCGAGCTGCGCGCTGGGGGGGGGGCGTCCGCGACCCCGGGGCGGCGCGACGCCAATCGGTCGGCCGAGCCGCCCCACGCGCCGCCGCCCGCGCGCGAGCGCAGTAAGGGCCGTCCGGGGGCTGCGGGCGACAGGGCGGAGCGCGGCCGACCGGGAGCGGGGCCGAGGCGGGGAGCCCGGTGGCTGCTGGGCCGCCGTCCTCCCCGCCCGGCGCCGCCGCCTCCGCCGGGGATGCTCCGCGAGCCCGGTGCCCGCCTGCGCCCGCATCCCGGCCCTGCCGAGGGCCCGCGGCGGAGCGCCCGCTGCGTGCCGAGCGCTGCCCCCTCGGCCGCGCTGGCGACCCGGGCCGGCATCACCCTCCTCCCCACACCCCCACCCCTCCTCCCTCCCCCTCGCGATCCCCTCCCCCATCGCCCTCCTCCCCTCTGAACCCCCTTTCCTCGCCTCCTGTCCCCCTCCCCCGGCCCTCGGCATCACCCTCTCCCCATGTTTTCCGTGGTGACCCTCCTCTCCTGTCCCGTGAGTTATCATGCGCCGTAACCTCCTCCCCTGATCTTTAGCCGATAGCCCACTTTTACTGGCAGCGCTCACCTTTCCACCGTCCCGTCTCCCTCGTTCTGCGCCCTCCCGGTGGTCACCATCTGTGTCAACCCACCTTCCGCCCTCCCCTGCGTCCCACTCTCCGGGGCGGGTGGGTGCTGCCAGCGCTGGCCAGGACAGTGAGGAGGGAAGGTCCCCAGGTGTGTTCCCGCGAAGGGCTGGCCCCAGGGCAGCTCTCTGGCTCCTCAGTGGAGAGGGCGACGTGCATCACACACTTTGCCCAGTTGCTGTGCTGCACCTTGGGGGGCTTCCAGGGCGACCTGGCTTCAGCCTGAGAGTGACCAGAAGCCTTTTAGCCCCGGGCAGCCTCTAGGACTGGTCATAGGAATCAGGTACACCGAGTCAAGCCTGAGACTGTCTCCCAGGTGTGCAGTGTGTCAGAAGTTCTATTTGATTGGATCTGCTCACCAACTGGCCGTGAATCTGGACCCTATTCCCAGGGCCAGCTGACCTTTACGATCGGGAATTGTATATTATTGAAGTGCAGAGCTGCAGTGAGATGTCCCCGTCCCCGATGAGGACAGGAATGACACAGATGAAAACGAACAGATGCATGAGGGAAGCTGGAAGTTACTATGGTCACTGAGACAAGGGGGGAGGGGAATGGACTCACACGGGGAGGGGGAGGGGAGGGTGGCAAGTTGTCACTGGGTGCCTATGAGGGTCAAGTGTTGGAAGCAGTGCTTAATAAACCGTCAGTCATCCTGCAAATGGAAGGGTTTCCTTTATCGTCACAGTTCAGCTGTGAGCTTACAGATCCACTTCTAGGTGCATGGGCCTGCCGGCATATTTTGCCTAAAAGTGACGGACACACATGAACAGTCCTGACTAAAGCTCTCAGTGCTGTTACGAGCTTGTGTGGAGGGTCCAAAGTTGGGGTTCAAGGGGTCAGGATCTTTTACTGCCTTTTGCTTGTAGCTCAGCTGTATGGAGGGCTCCTGGCTGGCTCTGTACACACAGAGTGAGGCTTCCCCGAATCCAGTGGAGAGATTTCCTTATCCTCCACTCCGTTTGCTCTGTTTGCATTTTGATTGACTTAAACTTTAGCGATTAGCAGGGGCTGATGGGAACTAACACTTAACAGGTGCTTGGTAAATCATCACCATCTCACTCTTAGCACACCGAAGAAAAACCTGTCCTCTTGAGAGACTGAATTTAAAAGTTCCAGTTAGGGGTTTAGCTCAGGGAGGAAGGAAATCCTTTTAGTAGAAGTGCTTGTTATCACACCGTGATCGTTTCACACTGAATGCCGGGGAGTGCTGGGGTTCTATTTGAGAGATGGCTTGCAAACAAAACACCATTCACCCAGACTTTCTTCCCTTTTCCTAAAGGGGAAACAGCTGTCAGTTTGTGATAGAAGCAGGAGACATCCAGGGGGCTGGGGGAGTCTCTTTGCATCCAGTGGGTCCCAGACTTTCCTTCTCAGATTTTCCTCCTGAGTCTGAGAAGAAATTGAAAACATGTGAGAAAAAAAATGTAAGCTTCTAACCTCCCCACTCTTGTATTTTTCCTAGAAACATAAAAAATTCCCATGAATATTCAGCATGTGTGTTTTTGACTTACTAAACATTATAGTCAAGTGATTCTTTATTCAACGGAAACTGGGAAGAAGCAAGTAGGCAGTTAATGAGCACCTAACGTTTCCCTTTCATTTTTGACTTAGCAAATGTGGGGAGGAGAAAAATCATTCGCGATATGGAGGCAACAAGAGTGTCCAAGATTTACCTTTGGCTGTTGGGATTCCAGGTCTTGAGATACCTTTGTTCCCACGCTCTGCCTTTGGTTTTTGCTGGCTAATTGGTATGGGTGCCACATGCCCTGGCAGTCACCTGCATGCATTGAGTGCTCACTGTGACCTGATTGTAAGTGCTTTACATCCATCCAACATCATTCATCTTCATCCAGTGACATGAACATTAACCCCATTTAATGGATGAAGAAACTGACACTTAGGAGAAATGATCTGCCCAAGGTTGGGATATAAAACTCGGGTCAGCCCATCTCCAGTCTGGGCTGTCGTCTGCTATGTCGCAAGGATTTTCAGTCCCCAGGGAAAGGGGATTATACAGCTTTCTCACTTTTTTAGTTGCCTGAGCCAGAAGAGAGGATAGAGTGCGAAATAGCATTCCGAATTGTGCTCCTCGAGATAAGGGACTGTGTTAGACCTGCAGAACAGAGACCTGGCTCTTCTCCTCGGATTAGAGAAAGCAGGGTGGACAAAGGGTTTCAGAGAACCCTGGGAAACACAGCCAGGATTTTATAGACTTGGGCAGCATGACAGCTGAGCGCTGGGCCTCCTTTTAGGTCATGAGGATAATCAAGGTGCTAGATGCTGGCGCTCACCCTCGGCCAGGTATGTGGCAAAGCATTCTGGCTGTTTTAGGGACGCTGTAGGTTGTGGGAGACTGAGTTAGCCTCCTGGGAGGACTTTTATTTCCACTCTGTCCCCATCGTTTTACTTTCGTAACCCCCTGGGTGAGGCCAGTAGATGGTGTCCAAGCAGGTAGACAGGTAATGCCTGTGTCTGCCCGCCCCAATGCAACCCCAGAGTGCCCACTTCCTTTTCCAGCTTGGTATTAGCCCACCCCCATCAGAAGGTCAAGAGAGATTAAGTAAGAAGGATGAAGTACTTGAAAAGAGAAAGTAAAATGGAGAACATGCAGTTTTTGAAGTCCCTTTGCCATTTTTAAGATGCTTTTGAATCCAGATTTCTTTTTAACAAAAGGTACAAAGATTAAAGGAAACATGTATTAAATACGTGCAATGAAACAGTACAGCAAAGTGGACAGACATAGGCTTTGCAGGCAGGTGGGGCTTGCGTCCCTGCTCTGGCTGTGTGACCGGTGAGTTATGTGATTCTTCTGAGCCTCAGTTTCCTCATCTGTAAAATGGGGGTAACAGCACCTCCTACAGATGGCACGAAGCAGATGCGACTGTTTGGAATCATCACAACAGTCCTGGGTGCAGGTGAGACACTGCTGGCCTTTTGGGAGATGGAGGCAGCGGTGGACTTGGGAGAGAGTACACAAGATTACAGGGTGTGTCCCCTCCCAGGAAGGACCCTCCCAAATGATCTGAGACTTTGCATGTCAGCTGAGGACTTTCCCAGGTGTAAAATGTATGCTGTTTTCTTTTTCATCCCAGGTTTGGACCTCCCCAAAACTCCTTTCACAGGGACCAGCACGGCTTGCCGAGGTGACACAAACCAGCTCCCTTCCCCCCCACCGCAGTGACTTTTGCTGGGAGTGGAGCAGTGGGCCCGGCCAGCCTCTTCTCTCGCCGATGCCGCCCTCGGCCGGGTCAGAGGACCGGAGGCAGCCATGCCTCCCCCCGCCCCAGCTGCGCCTTCCCCACCGAGCTAACCCGCACAGCGTGCTCGCCCTCGGGTCCCCCGAGGACTGATCGCCTGACCTTGCTTCACACCCCCAGTGACGACTGCCCCAAGATGTCGCTAGAGTGGCTGGTGGCCTGGAGCTGGTCGCTGGATGGCCTTCGGGACTGCATCGCCACCGGCATCCAGTCAGTGCGGGACTGCGACACCACGGCCGTGGTCACGGTGGCCTGCCTGCTGGTCCTGTTCGTGTGGTACTGCTACCACGTGGGCAGGGAGCAGCCCCGGCCGTTCGCGGCCGTCAACTCCCTCATGCAGGCCGCCGGGGCGGACGCGGACGGGCTGCAGAACGGCTACGCGTACTGCCAGGCCCCCGAGTGCGTGCGCTGCGCCCACAACGAGGGCCTCAACCAGAAGCTCTACCACAACCTGCAGGAGTACGCCAAGCGCTACTCCTGGTCCGGCATGGGCCGCATCCACAAGGGCATCCGCGAGCAGGGCCGCTACCTCAACAGCCGGCCCTCCATCCAGAAGCCCGAGGTCTTCTTCCTGCCCGACCTCCCCACCACGCCGTATTTCTCCCGGGACGCGCAGAAGCACGACGTGGAGCTGCTGGAGAGGAACTTCCAGACCATCCTGTGCGAGTTCGAGGCCCTCTACAAAGCCTTCTCGAACTGCAGCCTCCCACAGGGCTGGAAGATGAACAGCACCCCCAGCGGGGAGTGGTTCACCTATTACCTGGTCAACCAGGGGGTGTGCGTGCCCAGGAACTGCAGGAGGTGCCCACGGACGTACCGCTTGCTCGGCAGTCTTCGGACCTGTATTGGGAACAATGTTTTTGGGAACGCGTGCATCTCCATGCTGAGCCCCGGGACCGTGATAACGGAGCACTATGGACCCACCAACATCCGCATACGGTGCCACTTAGGTATGTTGGGGGGACAGGGGCCTCCTGGCACGCACGTGTCTTGAGTACTTCCCTCTGGAACACCGCGGAAGCTCAAGTAGCCAGAATCGTGCCTTTTCCCATTGGTCACTGTGCCTGTGTCAAACAGTCATGAATTGCATGCAAACCATTTTGATAGCAGAGACCGAGTCAAAGAGAATCTTAGGATCAGTGTGAGAGAAGCTCTGTCCAAAAGAACTTTCCGCAGCGACGGAAGTGCTCTCCATGGTCATCGTGTAAGACGGTGGCCACCAGCCACATGGCACTGTTAAGTGCTTGGCATGTGGTCCTTGCAACTGAGGGACTAGGTTTTCATTTAAACTTCAGTAGCCACCCGTGGCTAGTGGCTACTGTCTTGCACGGTGCAGCTCTCAAAGACTGCTAGAATGATTGCTGAGGTTCTTAACAATGTCCAGGAGGCTGTGGAAGGTACTAGGTGTCTGCAGGATGGTCAGGGATTAAACGATACTTGGTGTTAAGTTTATTCAATTCAAATTCTCAGATCACTGGTAAGATGGGTCTTGTGTGTATGGCAGTGGTTTTGCAGACGGGGTCCAGAGTTAGACTGCCACTGTGGCAGCCAGCTGGGTTCCTTTGGGCAAGTCACTTCACCTCTCTGAGCCTCAGTTTCCTCATTTGGGAAGAGGAGGTCGCAAGATCACCCCCTCCAGAATTGTTTTTGAGCATCTGATCAGGGAACATGTATTGCAAAATATTTATTCCCGCAGAGCCTGGTACAGGGTGAGGACGGAATCGGTGCAGGCTTAGGAACAACTGGGTAAATAGGGATATGTGTTCCCCGGAATGCCTGTTCCTGGCGAGTGCTGATGCGAGGTTGGTTAGTGGACGGTGGCATCACCGGTTAGCGTCCCAGAGGGGAGAGTGCTGAGATGGTCTCAGCAGCGTCTAGCTGTAGGAAGTTTGCGTCGCTGCCTCAGCTGCAGGAGGGAGAGCAGAATCGGAGCCTGGCACATGGGTTGGAGCAGAGATTTCATAACCTGCCGAGGGGGAGCCTCGGGCCGCCTGGGGAGGAGGCTGAGCCGGGAGCCCCGGGCCCTCCACCCCCTCTTCACCCACATGAGCTCTGCTGCACCCACTCTCTGTGTGGGGATCTGAGCAAGATGGGTTTGGAAAGAGGACTTCACTGCTTAAAGAAGAAGAAGAAATGACCAGATTAGAGCAGTGGAGATGGTAGGGATTTTAAGAGTAAAGGCAGGACAGGGTAGGAGTAGAGGCAGGGTGGTGGGGGGTGGCCTGAGTTTGTGGTCAGCAGTGAGACTCTGGGCAGGTAACTGAGTCCCTCTGTGCCTCAGTTCATCATCTGTAAAATGGGGAGACGGTACTTACTCCCCAGGATTATCAAGAGGATTAAATAAGTAGCATCTTATTTAAGGCCCTTGGCACGGTGCTGGCACGTGGCAGCGCTTGATAAATGGTAGCTGGTAGCTACCGTGACCAAACACTGCGATCGCCGGACTCGGGTCCTGGCTTCGCCCCATTTACCGAGTGCCCTTGAGCAGGGCCCAAGGGAAGCTCTGGGAGCCTCATTTTCTCCTTCCTAAAACGGAGGTAACGGTGCCTACCTCTGGGGTGCTCTGGGTGGGATCATCACGTGTAGGGCGCTTGGCAGGCGGGGCGGCCAGTTAACAGAGCGGTGGGGGATAATCCAAGCGGTGGCCGCGATCCGTAACCCCGCTGTGCGAGGCGCCAGGGCGCACTCGGGCTGAGGAGCGAGGGCTGCAGACGGGTGCTCTGGGGACAGGCGCCGACCCTGCGGGACGGGTGGGCGCCGCCAGCGTGGAGCAGAGGAGGAGGGTCTTCCCCTGGGGTCTGGGGGAGCCGCGTCTGGGCTTGCTGGGGAGACGAGCGGCGTGCGCTGAGGCCGGACGGGCTGGGTGGGAGCAAACCACAGAGGCCCAGATCCAGGCGTGCAAACCCAGGCTGCGTGCAATGAAGAGGGGGGATGCTTTGCTTTTTAAAGGTTTTCCTTTATAAGTTTATTTAAAGCTTCAGAATGGCTAGGAAGGGCGTTTGAGGATCAGCGTGGTGGAATTCCGGGCAGGCGTGTCGAGGCGAAGGGCTGGGGCTGAAATAAGCTAGGCTTTGCTTCCTCTGGCTTAGCGTGTGTGGTGCATGTGCGGTGCATGTGCACGATACCCATGTAGCCGTGTGCACGTGTGCATGTGTGAAACCTGCCATTCCCTTCTCGGCCCAGCCAGGTGCTTGCCAGAAAAAGTGGGTCCTCCACGTTCCCAGGGACGGCAGGAAACCTTGGAAAACGTCCCGTGGTGGCCTGGCTGGTCGTCCACGCCAAGGCGAGCTCCCGGGCTGGGTTTTCTCAGCGTTTCCTTCTTCACACCGTCACACCCACATTAGTATCCACCCAGGAAGTAAACAAGGGCGTGTCAGGCCACACCTGGCCCGAAGGTGGTGGCACCTGCAGATCGAAACCATGTGCTGTTCAGGCTCCCAAGACTTGGACCATAAACACACACTCATGTACAGAACCGTGCTCTTGAAATGCCAGCTTTCTCCTCTTCCTCTGCCTTCTGTCTGAGCTGTGACTGGCGGGACTGTCCCTGCAGACCTCTGCAACCCCAGCCACTGCCCTTCCTTTGCGCGGCCCACGTGTGTGGGACACGTTGCCGAGCCCTGCTGTGAGCCACCTCCAGAAGTGGCATGGCCTCGTCCTGACTTCCTGTGGAACCACAGGGCAGCTCTGGGCCCACCCCGTCCCCGGCGCCGCGAGTGGGGCTGGAGGTCCCAGGCGCACGGCCACAAACTTTTGGAAAACGACCTCTGCAACTCACCAGGCAGATGTCTCCGGGGAGGCAGAAACCACATGAAAATGCACGCGTGTGTTCAGCAGCTTCTAGCCAAATAAGCACGAGCGGACTCCTTGTTTTCCTTTTATGCACAAGCCCTGACCACAGAGGAGCCTGGGACAACGGGGGACTGTCCGAGGCCATGTGGAGGCCCCGTTTCTATCCCCTAGAGCCACTCGAATGCTCCGTTTGGGGACATTTTTGATCATTTCTGCCAGCTAAGCTGGTTTGCGGGCAGCAGGCAGGCACGGGCTGGTGGAAGGCTGGAGCAGGAGCAGGGGGAGGGGGAGGGCAGGCAGCAGGGGGTGTCGAGCCAGCAAGCCGGGCCATTCTTCCATCGCCCCATGGTGACGAATCATCTATGGAGAGAAAGGAGAGCTTCTCTCTGAAACCACTGGGGTGGCTGTTCCTGCAGAGAACCACCTATTTCTCCACCTGAGTCACACACAGAAGGAACAGGTGGCTTGCCTGGCCCTCTCCCTCAGCCAGGGAGTGCAGACTGAGCGCCTTTATAACCCCCAGCTGTTACTACCCATGGCAGGGAAATCGGCCAGTCTCGGCTTACTTAATGAAATGCACTACTGAGAATTGAAACATAGTAACTGCAAGACCATCAGCATCACTTTAATGCCACTGCTAATAGGGTAACTAGCATCTGTATCATAGTGCCCAGTTTTATAAGGACCTGTTCTTTGGAGCTAGCCAGACTCAGCAAGAACTACACAGTAACTTTTCAGCAGATCACTATACTTCTCAGTTGTTCCATCTGGAAAATGGGTGAAGTGACGTATGAAAATGGGTAAAATGGCCCAGTGCAGTGGCTCACGCCTGTAATCCCAGCACTCTGGGAGGCCGGGGTGGGAGGATCGCTTAAGCTCAGAATTTCAAGACCAGCCTGAGCAAAAAGGAGACCCTATCTCTATTAAAAGTAGAAAAGCTAGCCAGGCATCGTGGCTTGCACCTGTAGTCTCAGCCGCTCAGGAGGCTGAGGCAGGAGGATCACTTGAGCCCAGGAGTTTGAGGTTGCAGTGAGCTATGATGAGGCCACTGTACTCTAGCCTGGGCAACAGAGTGAGACTCTGTCTCAAAAGAAAATGGGTGAAGTGATGTATATAAAGTATTTATTTAGCATAAACCTGTACACAGTAAGTCTTTAGTTATTGGTAACAAGGATAAAGGGTGCATAGCAGCCCTAAAAGGTTAAGTAAGCTAATGTCCCCTCTTTACAGATGAGAAGGATATGGCTCAGAGAGGTTGAGTGCCTTGCCCAAAGTCACACAGCACATAAGGGACAGAGCCAGATGTCTGTCCCCAAGTCCTCTGTCCTTCCCTCTCCCCCATGTGACCTCTTTGTTTGAATTATCACTCCGTGCATGCTTCCTGGAGTCATTATTTCTGGTTCAAAGAATGCATTAAAACACTCTGGCTGCTAGAGAGAAAATCATTTCATTTTGTAATAGAGGACATTAAATCACAGGGAGAATGCCAGCTTGCCCAGGGTCATTGTTGTCACAGTGAGACCGCCACCATCCCGACCCCTCTTCCAGGGCTCTGCTTCCTCCTGGCTTGTCCTTCCTGAGAGCTGTCGGGCTGGCCCAGCCCCTTCTGAAACCATTAGACAGCTGTGGTGGTGCCTTCACGTGTGGACATCGGGGCAGTGACAGGGGCCACATGTGCCTGCAGACCCTTGGGTTGGAAGTGGGCACGGGAAGGGGCACACATGGCAGTGGCCCCCGCCTGGGTCATGGCCCCCTAGCCGGGGCCTCGCCACTTGCATTTCCAGTGTTTGTCTCCCTACAAAGGTGCCAGGCTGTTTCCTCTTCGGGGCCTTAGGGCTGCCCTCCAGTGTCCCAGAAGGAGGCCGGGGAGACTCAGACTGGGAGCATGCCACCCTCCATCCTTAAGGTGGATTCAAAGGCTAGACCCGGAAGAGGAGAACACCGTGTGAGCGTTTCTGTCTTTCATTGCAACTAACATGGCCCTAGAGGTGGGACTGTGGCGAACACAGTGATGGGGCAGGGCGGGGCTCTAAACCCGGCCTCCCTCGACTTCCGGGGGTCCCCTGGTTTGGCTTCTGGAGTCTCAGAAGTGTAGCGCAAGCCTCCGCGTGTGGCCCTAATCAAGGGAGTCCGTGACCCAGAATAGACGGAGCCAGTGAAGGAGAGAGTTTTTGCCAAGAGCACAGCGAGTCCCAGCACAGTCGGTGTCGGGTGAGGACCTGCCTCTGGCGCAGGGACGGCGCCTTCCCGCTGGTCCTCACACACCGCTGGGAGGAATCGAACCGGCGCCCTGGGGCCTCGTTCATGAGGGCGGGCGCCGCCTCCCGCTCGTGCGCGCTCTGCCTTGGTGACCCCATCACCCCCAAAGGCCCAGCCCCAACGCCAGCATCTCGGGTTTAGGTCCCAGCGCGTGGACGCGGGGGCGCACACACATTCAGACCACGCGCGGGGCTCGGAGGGGCGAGGCCAGAGGCTGTCCCCAGAGGGGGTCACCCCGGCCTCCTGGCCCAGCCTTCACTCTCTCTCTTCTGTTTTCCCCGGAGGTCTGAAGACTCCAAACGGCTGTGAGCTGGTGGTGGGGGGAGAGCCCCAGTGCTGGGCAGAGGGCCGCTGCCTCCTCTTCGACGACTCCTTCCTGCACACCGCGTTCCACGAAGGTGAGCCGCCGCCTCCCCGCTCGCCGCCTTTTTTTTTTTAACATTATTTCTTTTCTCTCTTTTTTTTTTTTCTTATTTTAACTAATAATCTTATTTATACTTTTTTTCTTTTTTTCATGCTGGACAGGATTGGGTTCCCAGCTTTGTTTGTTTTTAAAGAAAAAAAATTAATAGACTTTATTTGTTAGAGCAGTTTTAGGTTTTTGGAGAGATTGAGCAGAAATTACCCCTTCACGCCCCCCTCCACCCACCCCCCCCACACACACACACACATGCACACGCACACACATGCAATTTCCCCTCGTTGGCTGCAGCTGACGAGCGAGCCTTGACACGCGGCCATCAGAGTCCGGAGTGCACGCTGGGCCCACACCCGGTGTCACCCAGTCCGTGGGTTTTGGCAGATGTGCGAGGACACGCCTCCAGCATGACAGCGTCACACGGGATCGTTTCACTGCCCCGAAAACCCCTCCGTGCGCTGCCTGGTCATCCTCCTCCCACCTCCTTTTATCCACCCGGCTCTGCGACATTCCCGACCAGAGAGGAAGAGTCTCCCTGTGCGGGCTGAGGGGGGGGAAGGGTCCCTGAGCCCCAGCTCCGCACAGGGCCTGGCTCCCGGGTGGCCTGACCCCCTCCTGTCGCCCCTCCGTCCCCCCCAGGCCCAGCGGAGGACGGCCCACGGGTGGTTTTCATGGTGGACCTGTGGCACCCGAACGTGGCGGCGGCCGAGCGGCAGGCCCTCGACTTCATCTTCGCCCCGGGACGGTGAGAGCGCGGCCGAGCGGGGACCGGGGCGAGGGCCGAGCGAGCCGGACGCACCGTGGCACCGTCGGCCCATGTCGCAATGCCACGCTCAGAAACCTGCCTCCACGGAGAGCTCTTGCCCGGGCTTTTCACGTCCTGCCGGGTCCCTCCCTCCTCTGGTTGTTGTAAATGGAAACTTTCCGGCTTGTATTTCCTTAGGTTTCTTTTCTTTCTTTCTTTCTTTCCTCCCAATCATTTGCTTCTGAGATTCTTTTCTGGCCTTAGCAGCGCGTCTTGACTCTGCGAACGGAGACTCGGCGCCCTTGTAAGTCTGTGTTTTGTCGCCGCTTGTTTTCTCGAGTTTTCTGAAATACAGCAGCCAAATGGTTATTTGTCTGAATGTAATAGCGTAGAGCTTCTTGTGGTCATCGTAAAAGAGAAAAACCCTAAAAACTGCAAACCAGAGAGCTATAGAACCTGACCCCTGATGCTTGGCGCCCAGGGGACCCTTCAGCCCCTCCAGGGCGGGGGACAGTCTGCAGCCCCCGCAGCCGGCGGCTTCAGTAGCGGCCGGAGAGGCTGCCGGACACGGTCGGGGTGGTGCACAGCGTCCGGGCCCAGGGGAACTGTCACCGTCGCTCACCTCACCCCAACCCCTGTCAGGTCCCTGGTGGCAACGGCATTCGGCCCGTGGGACTGGCGGCTGACCTTTCCACTCGGCTTTCCTACAGAGCCGAAGCCAGTGTCCCCAAGAGCCAACCTGCAGCTCGCGCCGGTCAGCCACGGAACGTGCGATCCGCTTACCTCACTGCCTACAGAAGCCCTACTGCCAAACCTGGCCTGGAAAATTCCCAGTTTTCGTTGTTTTGAGTCCATGGTGACGAACACTAAGACCACCAGTTGGCTGATAATGAGCCGTGGTGGGATAAGACCTCCCTCATCCAGTGACATTCCGGGAAAACCTTTCTTTGGCAAAACTGGAATCAAAGATCTGACCAAAGCGTCTGTTTTACTTTGAACTTCTGTTGCCTATGGTATTTGTTTTGTGTTTTTTTTTTTTCCCATTTATTTGTACATAAATGTTCAAACACTGGACACACAGATAGTGGAAGAGTCAGTCCTGTGTCTTTGTCATTGCACAAAGGTAAGCGTGGAGTGACAGTGACCCAGTCTAGAAACAGCCTCTGTTAACCGGTACGTGGAAGTGTAGCCGGCCAGCTGTACTAGAGATGCGGTTTTTTTGGAATAATGCATCATGGGCAGTGTCAGATTTACAAAGCCAGGGAGTGGTCTGCAATATACCTGGTCACAGGTACAGGTCCAATGCTTGTATCAGAATAGAAACCAGCAGCTTCTATAAGGCACAACCGTCTGAAGTGCACACAGTCTGAAATGCACTCGGTAGTAACTCGGAAGTGTGCAAAGAGAACATGTCTACGTTGGAGCAGAATGTCTGCACAGATACTCGTCAGTGATGGGAACGCAGGGAAAGGCAGGAATTTCAAATACAGCTGAAGTCTTTTTACTAATTAATTGTCTTGTTAAAGAATCACTGAGGTGCATGATTTCTATACATCCTGTCTGCTCTACGTTTACAAAACCAACAGCCCATGCGGGAACCTGGCTACCTGTGTCCGTGTGACGTGGTTGGGGATAGAAGATAAAAATAAAGGATCTTGCTGAAAACCAGAGGGAGGTGGTGACGTCATCCGTTGTAAAGCCGTGCCCTGACTGGGGCCCGTGTGTGACTCTGAGGCTCTTGTTTTGAGCTGTGTCACAGAGACAGGCAGGACACGGACTGATCGTGCACAGTGGTCAAAGCCGTGTGTGCTTCTAGAATCTTGGGCGCGGGGTGGGGGGAGAGAGGAGCATATCTGTGGAATATCAAGGAACTCTAGATGTTGGTGTGAGCAGAGAGCAAGGACTTTGGCTTCAGGAGCGCCAGAGTCTGCTCCCTTGAGACCTTGGCAAGTCCCCTGGCCTCTCGTTGTCTCAGTCTGCCCCTCCATAGAGACGGTACCTGGCAGATGACAACGCTGGCTCCCTTTCTGCCACTGCAGAGTAGAGCCAGGCGGAGAGGAAGGATGGCACGAGGAAGAGACGCGGCCAGGGGAGCCAGTGGCTACTTCCAGGTGCCTCTGTCTCATCCCAGAGGAAGAAGAATGTCCCTCCAATAGCTAGGTTTTTGCTTTTGGGAGAGGGGACTCTGGTGGCCAGGGCCCCAGCCGTTTGTGCTCGCAAGCCAGCTTCCAGCTGGCAGTCCTGGCTAGGCCGCCGTAGCGAGTGGAAGGGAAGAGCACCACTCGCCTGGGACCGCGGTTTCTCACCCTCCTAAAGCGTGTGTTGCCAATTAGGCAATTGCTAAATTAATTTGCATGCTACAGCTCGGGATGCTCAAGGTGAGAAAGGGGAGCTGCCCGCCCAGCTGCCGACAGGAGTCCTGACTTCCTCCCCAAGGCGGCCTGCAGTTGCTTCCAGCTCCCTCCACGCGGGCAGGCAAGGCCAGGCCAGGCACTGGACTTGCACAAGGTCAGACCCCAGGTGTCCTGACGCCAAACCCTTCTTCCCGGCACCCGCTCATCATCCCCCAGAGTGACCTACGTTGTCTGGGTTATGTCTTTGGTGACAGGGACCAAACCTGTAACACTGAGTGCCCTACAGCGTACAGCAGGAGGGAGGAAGAGTCATCCTAAGCCACCGGGCCTTGACTTTGGCCACACAGTACAGTCACCTGGGGATTTCTGGTGCCCACACCTCACCCCAAAGCATCTCGTTCCGTTGTTCTGGGAGCGAGGCCCAGGCATGGGTATGTTTAAAAACTCGTTTCCCATTATGAGTCTGTGTGTAGCTGGGGCCGAGGGTCACTGCTGAGTGGCAGTGGCTCTGAAGCCAGCCAGCGGGCAGTTAGAGTCTGGGCCGCACCACTGTGTAACGCTGGGCGGGCCACCTAATCTTGGTCTCGAGGGGACAGCCAGTTTAACCCTCTCCTGCAAGACCACAGCATCCCCTGTGCTCAGTCCTCGGCCAGGGCCAGACCCAACCTCAGGTCCTGGGCTGGGCCCGCGATCCAGACCTGACCAATCAGAGCCTCCCAAACTCCTGGCCACTCGGTCGGGACAGGGCTGGGCACGTGATCTACGCTCTTTTGCTGGGACCATTGAGGAAAAGAGGCCGCTTCTCATGGGGTGGGGTAAGGTCTTAGCGGAAAGGAAACCTGAGAGTGAAACCACAGAGGCCCCGCCCTGCGGCCATCAGGAGCCCTGAATACTGCTCGGCCTGAAACCAGCTCTGCCTCTGGCTTTTCCGTTAGAGGCGCCCACAAACACCCTTTTTATTCTTAAGCCAAGTTCCAGTTGCGGTTGCTATCCCTCCCCACCAAAAAGTCCTGATCTACTCTGTGAACTTCAAGTTAGGCTTAGGTAAGATGCTGCTATGTCAAGTTCTCGGGGGACAGGAGGTGCCCCATGCACATTTGAGTGAGCTCAGTTCAAAAGTCTGATCTGAGGACCATCCTGCCTGCCGCCAGCCACCCTCCCTAACTGAATCACCTCCCCAGCTGAATCTTGCTAACCAGATGTAAACACAGGGAACAGGACAGAATAAGGCCACATATTTTCGATCTGCTGACAGATGGCAGTGAAAATACTCCAGCAGATTGTAGCATTAGGAGGCAGGAGGCAGCACACACAGGGACTGGTTCGCTTTCCGCCCCCTTCCCAGGCGCGCTTCGGTCTGACTGCTGGTTACCTGCCCTTCCCCATGTCCCGCCCCCTTCCACCCCTCCCCCTTCCACCCCTCCCCCTTCCACCCCTCCCCCCTCCCCCCCTCCCCCCCTGCTCGCTAGCCACCCCCAGGTTCAAGGTGAGGGCGCTGGCTGCTTTGAGCACAGGGACGCTGTGCACCCTACCAGGGTCCTTCCCACACGTCACCCTGGTCCATACTTGCGGCCACACCCAGGCAGGGACGGTTACATACATTGAACACGTGAGAAAACCGAGGCTCCGAGCGGGCAGGTGACATGAACAAGGTCACGTAGCCGGTTGGAGGGCGGGCTGGAATTGGAAGCCACGTACCCAGGCTCGCAGCTCAGTGCATCCTCTGAGGTCTGGGCTCAAGGCAGCCTCACTCTCCCTGGTGGGCGGAGGGACCCTTTGGGAGGCTGGTGGCCTCGGGCCACACAACCCCGAGCTCCATTATCTGAAGTCCCACAACAGGCCAAGCCCTTGCATTACCTTCTCCTCCCTGTTTTAAAGAGGACACTACGGTTCAAAGAAATAAAGCGACTTGCTCCCGTTTCTACAGCAGTTAAGTCGCAGAGCTGCGATTCGAACCCAGCTCTGACACCACAGCCCAAGTCCTCCTGCCGCTGCCCCAGCAACCGGCTCGCCTGAGTGGGCAGGAAGGACGTCCCCAGCGCCACTGTAGTGGCACACACAGGACACGGCTCGCCTCACCCTCTCTCTGGCCATGGGCGCTTTCTGGGTCCCGCAGCCAGGGCGCCAAGCCCTTTCTCTGGGGTGCTTGGCCCGGCGGACAGGAAGGCAGGAGAGGGAGACGGCTGAGAAGGGCTGCCACCCGGCTCGGACCCGAGCACGCACGAGCCATCATAAAACGCCTCTTGGCTCTTGACAGTGTTCAAAGTCGCTCTGGGTTTTTATTCTGGGGAGAAGTACGGCTGATTTCAGGTTTGGACACTGAGATCCTCTAAGCAGAGGACGCATCCTTTTTTCACCTTGAAGCCTTTAGAACCTTCGCCTTAAGCTTCCCGAACTCAATGTTGAGAGAGGATCCAGGGGGTTTTATTCGCAAGCTAGGATGCTGGGTGCGGGTCTTACACCCTGCCCTCCCCAGCAGCCTCAGGCAGGGGCCCAGTGGCAGCCAGAATCCAGAAGCAAAGCAGGGCACAGGTGGCTTTCCCGTCCTGCTGCCCTATCCCCAGAGAAGCAGCGGTTTCAGAGGTGGGGACAGGTGTCTGCGCGTGTGTTAGGAGGGTGGCGAATGCACGCTGGCATCGCACACAGCTTCAGCGTCCCTGCCATGCGTCCTGTTGGCTCCCTCCGTGGGCTCCCTGCGGGACGTCCTTGCTGTCTCCTCCATCTGAAGGCAGTGCGTGCCCAAAAGCAGGCACAGCCCCCTCCGCCCCCAAGCACTCTTCCTTCTCCTGAGGACACGTTCTTCAACTCTGCCCATGTCCCGCCACCTCCCGCATGGACAAGCATGGCCTTCTGACGGTTCCCGCTCCACCCCGCTGTCACCCACTCAGGAGCTAGAGACCGTTCTAATGGGAACCAGATCGGTCACTCCCCTGTGGCCCAAGCCTTGGCGACCCTGCCGTGCCCTTTGTCGTCGGCCGTGCTCCGTGGCACTGCGCTGTTGAGAGAGGGGGTTTGGAATCGCAAGGACAACGTCAGGTTTGCAGGTGGGTGTATCAGTTTCCTTTGGCTGCTGTAACAAACTACCACAGACTTGGTGGCTTAAAAGAGCAGAAATTCATCGCCTCACGGTTCTGGAGGCCTGAAGTCCAAAACCAGTCCCGCCAGACCTCATTCGATGTCACACAGGCAGGCAGACTCCCTCGGGGAGCTCCAGGGCAGAATCCGCTCCTTGCCTTTTCTGGCGTTGGGTGCCTGCCGGCACCAGTTGACTCACGGCCACGTCACCCTGACCGCGGCCTCCCTCCTCACACGGCCTTCTCCTCCGTGTGCTACCCCTCTGCCTCGGTGCAAGCACACTCGTGACGGCTCTCGGGCCCCCCCGGGTAGTCCAGGACAGTCTCTCCGTCTCGAGATCCTTAACTCGGTCACGTCTGTGGAAACTTTATCCTATAAAGTAACAGTCCCAGGTCCCGGGAACTGGGACCTGCTGTCTTTGGGGCCCCCGTTCGGCCAGCAGCGCAGGGCCAGTGGCCCGCCGCCAGGAGGCTTACACAGAGGAGGGCAGGCCACTACCCAGCTCCTCGCGGCAGGCGGGGGTCACAAATGCGGGCAGCCTCTCAGCTGCACTGAAAGGGCCACCGAGGGGTTGGACACGCCTGGGAGACACCAGGAAGGGCCCCGTCTCCACTCACTACCACTGTCCGCAGCTGTCCCCGCGGAGGTGACAAGAGCCCACGGGCCTGGCAGCTCCCCTCCAGCGGAGGAGGCAGTTTGATGGGGCCCTCGGGAACAGAGGTCCTCCCCAGTGGGAACCTGACTGCCACTATCAATCACTCACGGGAACTTGAGCCTTCACAGTTCACAGGTGGCAGATGGCTGGCAGGGACTGACCCAAAACGGAGCCTCCTTTCACTTCCTCTCTCTGCTGTGACAAGTCAGCGGGGTCTGTGGCCCTGGGTCATCGACAGGGGCACTCTGGTGTCAGCTGCGGACCCGGGGCCTGCAAACGCTGCCTTCCCTTGGGAAACACGCCACAGGAGGGCGCGGTGCTCCCCGCAGCAGGACGATGCTGCCCTGGCCACCCTGGCCTGTGCTCTGGGGCTGACGTGTGTAGAGGCTAATTTTGAGGGTATGGGCCTGGGGCTGTGGCATGAGCCATGTCCTAAGAGCTCCCCGAACCCCTCAAACACTGGAGCATTAAGATAGGATGCTGAGCTCCTTTCCAGCAGCCTCTGGGCCACAGTCACCAGGCTTTGGAGGTGACAGCTGCAGCTGCTGGCTTCTTGGAGCTGCAGCAGCACCCGCAGTATAGAATCTGTAACGAATGTTTTCTTGGAGAATCTAGCAGAGGAGTAGGACAATATGCATGCATTCTAGTGGGAGGTAGGCTCTGCTCCAGCTTTGGCCAGCCAGCCAGTGGCAGGAGGGACCCCAGGGAGATAGGAAGAAACAGGGTGACACAGGCCTGGCATGTTGGACCAGCCACACCGAAGCTGGTGCTCACTGGGGCAGGAGGCTGCAGCCACCACCCTCCCGGGCAGACCACCCTGAAGCACACGGTCCCTCCTCCAGCTACACTGACTCCAGGGAAGGAAAGAGAGAGGTGTCCACATAAAAATATAAAAATATATATGTATATAAAATATACACACACACACACACACACGTACACATATATACATATAAATAAAATCTCTTAACCCTTAACTTTGCCTCTAAAAATGTTACTATTTAATTACTCAGAACTCAAAAGTGTTTTTGGCTATTTTCTTTTTAGTCCTTGGAAACTTATTTCAAGAAAGAGACACCATGTCATAAGCATCACTGACAAGAAATTATTAACATCTCGATTTTCAATGGAATCTCAGATACTTCCAGTAAACATCCATTTCAGGTTTTGATAAATATTTTCACCCTGTGATACACAGCATATTATAAAATGTCTGGCTGTCGTGTAACAGAACTGAGTTTAGGTCGCACACCAGTGCAGAAACATACAAACGAACCCCGGTCCCTTCACACAGCCACCTCTGGAGAGCACAGTTCTGCTTTTACCCAAAAACATCTTGTAAACTCCTATTTGGGGACACACGCTCAATAGGAAGCAGCTGCACAGCCCACTTCTGAGCAAAGCGGCACGGCTTGGCTCTGCTGTCACTGGATTCTCGGGCCCCAAGCCCCCTGGGCTTTATAAAGTGACCCCTGAAGCCCGGACTCCCTCCTGCATTGTCAAGACTCCACCCGCCCGAGGGTACGCCAGCGAGGCCCCTAGATTTGAGTTTAGTCGCAGCAGAATCCAGACAAGGTGGTTTCGGAGTGACAAGGCTTCCCCATGTTCACGTCCCTACCTCCCAGGGAGCCCACCCGAGAAGCGGCGGGGGGTCTCCCTGCTGGCAGGCCTGGCTACGCACACATAGCCGCACCCCACCCTGCCCACCTGCTCCCGGGCTTGAGCAAGCGCCCCGGACTAGGGACAGTCAGATTCTAGAAGAAATGCCGACCTGGAATGTTGTGGCACCAGCTCGGGCTGCGATGGAACCGCAGCGGGAAATGCCAAATACCTCAGGCTCAATACGACAGGGAAACGAACTGTCCCTGTCCCTCTCTGGTATCGGGAGTGCTTGCGTCCATCCTGGCCCCAGCGCTGCCGCCGTCATGAGTTCTTTACCAAGTCTGTGAACTAGAGAACTATGCCCCCCACGAATGCACCCAACCTGCAAAAGGAATGACAAAAACTCCAATATCATTATGTCCCTACGAAAGGGAATATTCCAAGAAAAATAAAACAGGAACTTTTTCTGTTTAAAAAGGCAGAGCGTCCTTTGCTGGTGTTCTCGTCCCGGTCCTCCTGGGGCGGTGGACTTCGCAGGGCGGGCATGGCTCACAGCAAGTTGACCCCGTGCTTTAGCAGCTTCTGCCTGGCCTTGCTGGGCAGGCTGAAGGCGCCGTCCTGGGCGCTCGGGAAGCCGGAGCTCCGCGCCGCGGGCGGCAGCTGCTGGAAGTAGGTTTCCTGGACGGGGTTGCAGCAGGCGTACACGGCCGTGGAGCCGTTTCTGTGGGGAGAGAGAAGACAACAGCCTGTTGGTGCTGGTGCACATCCGAGACCACACCCAGAACTCCGTAGGGCTCTGTCCCCGGGGCCCCGGCGCACCCGGTGTTGCGCGTGCCGCCATCAGGGCACGGATTCTGTCCACTCACTGCAGTGTCGGCCACCTTTCCTCCTTTCAACTCACTAGATGCTGGGACCGTCCGTGGCCGGACTGTGCACGGTGGCCGCAGCCACAGGGCCTGCAGTTGCAATCACGCATAGAGGAACCGCTAGGTGCCTGCTTCGTTGATACGGCAGCAGCCATGCAACTCGTTCTTCCTGCGGTCTCCACTTAGTTCTCTCACCAGCCTCCGCAGTGGTGGCATGGTCCCATGGGACAGACCCAGAGGCTCGGAGAGGGAGGCTGATGCTGCCCTGCCTCTGGGACAGTGCAGTGGCCGTGCCCCGGGAAAGAGTCCAGTCCGCTGCCCACACTTGGGTGGCCGGATGGACTGAGCAGAGGGGGGTGATCAGAGCAGGGTGTGAAACGCAGCAGTACAGGGGTGAGGGCACTGGGCAAAGGACGATTCACCCTGGGAGGGACTGACTCCAGAGCCAGGTGACTACCTGGTTTCTGGATTTTGCCTGTTTCAAACTAGGGGGCCTCAGTTTCCCCAAATCTAGGAAGAGAGGGTGGAGTCAGGGACCACTAAGGCTCCCCTCCCCAAAATCTCTTTCCATGTAAGGAGAAGATTCATCCTCCTCCAGCTTCTCCTTCTAGACCTCCAGGGGCTTGAAAGGCCACCTAGCTTAGGTGTCACCTGCCTCCCACTGGGCCAGCAGGACAAGCTCCTCTCACGGCCACGGGGGCAGCACTGCGGCCAGGTGGCTGCGAGCACAGACCTGGAGTCTCCTACACACCCGGTGCTCACCCCACCCTGCTGCGTCCCGGCTGTGTGCCCTGAGCTATCAACCTGCCTGAGTCCCAGCGTTCTCATCTGTACAACGGACATGACAACAGTATGTGCCTTCATTGAGGTGGGTTTTTTAAAGAAGAGATTGAGTAGAAAAATACATATACATTAATATATATAAATTGTTTAGTACTTGGTGAGCAGTTAAGAATGGGTAGCTGTTGTTCCGATTACTATATTAAAATAATCTCTCAGCAAATGCCTCGAGCTGTGCATCCCAACACTAAAACCGTCTCAGCTCCAAGGAAGGTGACATGCTGCAGGGCCACAAGGTGGCTGGGAGAGCAGATGCTGACATTTTACTTGTTTCCACCTCCCACAAAACAGACACATGCGCACACACACACACCCAACGCAACCAGTTCCCAAACCACTGACTGTGGATACAAAGCACAGCGAGGTTGCCAGCCTGGGGCAGCTCGGAATGGAGGCCAGAGAAGACACATTTATCACAGAAAGATATACTGAAATACTGGCTGGAGGTGGCACCAGGCGGCAGAAATACCTCCGTGTGGCAGGTGACAGGGGATTAGAACCGCCATAGTCACCCACCAGGCTCCTCCCACTCAACCACACTGCCCTTACGCCGGCACACGTGTGGAAGGATCACGCAGTTAAGATCTCAGACAGTTCTGGGTCAGATCCTGACCCTGCCATGCAATAAGAATGTGGGGCAAGTTGGGACAAGTTGCTTTTCCTATTTGTGCTTCAATTTCCTCTGTAAAACGAGGATAAAAAATACACTTGACCAGCTCGTTCCGAGGACTGAATGGACTGACACACACAGCAGGCACGCCCTTTCCGACCCTCCAACTTGCCTTATTTTCTGCCACCGGTTTCATTAAGACAAGCATGTAGAGAAAACAAACAAACAAATCCAGAATTTGGTTGGTTAAATGCTGTAAACTATAAATATTTATATAATTAATAGATTTATATCTACTGCCATGGAGGTGTTTAAGACATGCAGTAATGTGAAAAAAGCAACTATAAAGTAGTACATTAGTAGGATCCTATTTTCTAGAAGAATATTAAAATAATGAACATAAAAAGACCATTAATCTATATTTTATATGCAAAAAATAAAAACCAATAAAACCTGGAGTAATTCACACGAAACTGTTACATGTGGTTATTTCTTGGGTATGTGACGGCAATGGGTAGTTGGGGGGGGGCGGGGGGGTAGGAAAATGTTTTACTTTATAGATCTCTAAGCAGGCTGAGTGATTTTATAATCAGCGTGTTTTACTTGTCTTAGTTAGAGAGACAACATTATTATTATTATTTTTGGAGACTGAGTCTCACTCTGTTGCCCAGGCTAGAGTGCCATGGCATCAGCCTGGCTCACAGCAACCTCCAACTCCTGGGCTCAAGCAATCCTCCTGCCTCAGCCTCCCGAGTAGCTGGGACTATAGGCATGCACCACCATGCCCGGCTAATTTTTTCTATATATTTTTAGTTAACCAATGAATTTCTTTCTATTTTTAGTAGAGACTGGGTCTCGCTCTTGCTCAGGCTGGTTTCTAACTCCTGACCTTGAGCGATCCTCCCATCTTAGCCTCCCTGAGTGCTGGGATTACAGGCGTGAGCCACCGCGCCCGGCCAAGAGTGACAACAGTATTATTTCAGCACCATTTCTGGCAGGGGGAGAGCCTCCTTCCTCAGCCTGAGCGTGGACGGTGGCAGCCACAGGAGCAGACAAAGGCAGGCCTTAAACAGCAACTAGAACGTTTTCCCTCTAGCTGGGGAGGCTGGCCCCCGGAAGGTGGTTCCCGGGAGCGGGACTGCCTGTGCAAGTGGCATGTGGCAAGGCTCACCTGACGGTCATCTCGTACAGCGAGGGCAGCCGGGCGAACTCCGAGTGCATCAGGCTGACGGCCTGGAGGAAGCGGCGGTCCTGCAGGGTGGCCGGCTGCGGCAGGTTCGCTTCCGGAAGAGGACACGGAAGTTGTGACGAGCAGACTGCTCCCCTCCCCGCCCCCTAAGCTCAGAACCGAACACCGGGACTGAGCGTGGCTCGAGGCCACGAGTGTGGGGCCCCAGGGCCGAGCACCCAAGGCTGCTGCCGCCAGGCAAGAGCAGGTGCGTCGCCCCTGACAACGATCAGCTCTCGGTGTCTGCACACGGATCTCCATGTTCTGAAGCAGACCTTGTCACAGACAGTTGAACATGTGTAAATTTGCTCTCAAAATGTTGAGAAAATGCCAAAAAAAGACAAATGAGCAAAGAAGCATTTGCCAAGTGAATTCTACACTCGGCGGGAGCCTCCCTTAACTGCAGGTCTGATGACTCTGCAAAGCTGCGTCACCATGGTGCTGGGGTCTCAGGGCCTCATGCCCCCTCCACTCGTCTCCAGAACCCTCTAGAACCTTCCGGCCTCCGTGCCCGAGCCTGCTCCTTACCCGTCAGCACGCTCTGAATGCGGTCGTAATGCGCGAAGTTGTAGGCGCTGCTGGTGGAGGAGGCCTCGTCTCTGGGGAGCGTCTCTTTCAGGTGGACTTCCAGCCCGTTCAGGGACGCCAGGCTGCTATGGTACTGCAGAGGGACCAGGAGAGGGTCATGGGCTCGCAGGACTCACCCCGGCAGGCCTTCTGAGGGCTTTGTTTGACCATGGGCTTGGTTAAAATATAATCATCCCAAAATAGCTTGGTGCCTACTTGCTTTAGCAAAATAGACTCTGACCAGCCTATTTGCCTCTTTTTAGAGAAGTGCTAACTTCCACCCTTATGCTTTATTGTTTTTTACATTAAGGATTATATTGTAGGAAAATTTAAAAATAGAGATGAGCAAAAAATAAATTTTTAAAAGAGGAAAAAAAAGCAAAGAAAATCACCCATCTCACCATTAAGTAACAGCCACTGTTCGTTTTAACAATACGAGCGGCCTGCGACCACCTGCCCGTGTTTCTCCACCGGGCCTGGGTGGAGAAGTCCCCCATGGATGTAACGGGCTGACTTCTCTCCCCTGCATCTAGAACGGTCCTGGCTCTGCACTGCTCTAGGAAGGACTGAGAAGTGTCGGTCAAACAGTTTCTGTGCTTGGCGGCTCAGAGGAGGAATCTGGGTGAGGAAGCCCCCAGGGACGTAAGGCCGCGAAGCACCTGTATTTTTAAAAACCTCCCAGAAGATGAGTAATGCATAAGTATAGTTGCAAACACTGGTCTACACTGTTTTGTTGTAATCCTTTCTTTATAAAATAAAAATGGGATCAAATCGTAAATAATGGTACAGTTGTTTTTAATCTAAAGATACAGCATGAACTACTTTTCTTGTCCATAAATATTCTTTAACGGGGGTGAGCGCTATTCTCCAAGCTCCGCTCAGGGCTAGGTACACCAGTGCCATCCCGACAGGCTCGGTCTGGGACAGGGTCATCAGCCTGAGCGTTTACTATCTCTGATAGTAAATTCAGGTCATATTAGCTTTCCTACTTGAACGTCTGGTAACCGTCATTCCTCCCATCTCGAGCTGGTGCCCAGAGGAAGGGACGATGGGAACAGAGAGGAAGCCATGCTAAAATTCATTTCTCCTATAGGCTCTGAGCTCCACTTCCAAAATCTTCTGCCTAACTTGTAGTCAAGACAAAATCACTTAACCATGAACACTCAGTGAATCACAGGATACTATGTCCCATGACACCTGGGCAAGTTTTTACTGATAACCAAGTGCTTTCATATATAACAGGGGTCAGCAAACTGTGGCCTGTGGGCTAATCCAACTTGTTGCCTGTTTTTGTATAGTCTGTGAGCTAAGAATGGTTTTTATGTTTCTACATGATTGGGGGGAGAAGTCAAAAGAACAACACTGTGACATATGAAAATTACATGAAGTTCCGATGTCTATGTTTAATAAAGTACTATTGGAATACTGCCATGGCATTTATTTACATATTGTCTGTGGCTGTTTTCCTACTACAACAGCAGAGTTGAAGAATTGTGCAAAGTTGAAAATATTTGCTTCTGGTCCTTTGCATAAAAAGTTTGCAAACCCCTAATACATGCTATTAATGCTACATAACGTGATCCTTCAAAAAGCCGGAGGAGACACACACTGACTGCTAGACCACACTAAGGCAAAAGGCTTGAATGTTAGCACATACAGTAACATGCAGAAGACACAATGCATGAACATACGTTCACTGAGAGGCCCCGGTTTCCTAGTTGGGGGAGGTGCTTTATGACAACACGTTCACGCTAACTTCAAGCCTCATCTACTGTACACAGACGGCTCAATGTCCTACTGTAGCGATGAATAATTGATTTGATCGCTGTATTTGAAGGTCAATGATTATCTTGGGTTTTGAGCAGGAAACCACCAGTGGCTCCATGCTGCCCCCTGGTGTGCGCCTACTCCACTCCCTGAGCCAATCCCACCCCAGCCCTCCTGGCTGCTCCACTCTGGCTCCCTGCGCCCATCCCACCTCCTGCTCCCACCTCCATGGAAGCCGATCCTCTGAAAGATGGAAAATTGACACAGGGCGCCTTGGCGGTATGTGGCATAATCAAAAAGGTATGCATGGCTCACGCCTGTAATCCCAGCACTCTGGGAGGCCGAGGCGGGCAGATTGCTCAAGGTTAGGAGTTTGAAACCAGCCTGAGTAAGAGCGAGACCCCATCTCTACTATAAATAGAAAGAAATTAATTGGCCAACTAACATATATAGATATATAATATATAATATAATAATATATAAATTAGCCGGGCATGGTGGCACATGCCTGTAGTCCCAGCTACTCGGGAGGCTGAGGCAGGAGGATTGCTTGAGCCCAGGAGTCTGAGGTTGCTGTGAGCTAGGCTGATGCCATGGCACTCACTCTAGCCCAGGCAACAAAGTGAGACCCTGTCTCCAAAAAAAAAAGGTATGCAAATTTTCTCAGCTGCACTGTCACTGACCATTGGGAGTGGCGGTGAGGGGGCTCTTCTAGATAGCAGCAGAGGGGCTGCAGGGAAATCAGGTCAGGCATTTTCTAAGCTGGTCCAGGACAAAAAGGTAATAAAAGATCTCTCCCAATTATAAAACAGCCAGCCTCTGGGTCTGCTTAACAAACCCACCCACTCTTAAACCAGATGGAGTGAGGGAGGGAGAGGGGTAGAGAGGATGGATTCTGGGGCCTAGCCATCACCAAACCCTACTTTACAGGAAAGCATGAAAGCCCATGGACGCTGTTGTCATAACAACATGGATGGGCTTTGACAAACCAAGAGATACATCCACAAGTCAAGAGCCACAGAAGGCAGGACATTTATCCCCTTGCTTCACCTTCCCACCTATCATGGCAAGGACAGAACTGTAGGGGGACAGAGAGCTGTGGTAGGCGAACAAGAAACAAGCAAGAATTCTGGACCCACCAGTTGCATGAGGTCTTTTTATCTCAACCAGGCTGTCTTCTTACTGGTAAAATGGGAGTTACAATGCCTACCTCCCAGAACTGTTCTAAGGCTTGGCTAAAATAACAAAGTATTTAGCATATAGTTAGTGCAGAACATCTCCTTGAAGAGCAGCCTGTGCTATTTTTTCCTTCTTGGGGGGAAGGTAAAAAGAAAGGTATTAAATCCACTTTACTGCATCCAAACACTGAGCCTTCAAAATAACACTTCGAAGGCTTGGCACCGTGCAGAACAGACCAAGGAAACCAAGGCATCGTCAGGGAGATGAGACGTGCAAAGCTGCAACCGTGACTCCCTGTGTGGCTATCAGAAGGTGGATAAAGTCACTCAGAGCTACGGTAAAAGGGGCTACAGGAAGCAGACATGCCACAGCTCGGTGGTATGGGGTCTGTGGAAAGGGGACAGACAACCAGGCAGCTCTGGAGAGAAGCAGTCTCTCGCTGGGAGCTCTGCGCAGAGGAAGCAGCTCGGCAGTCTTCCCTCCTCCTCTGTGTTCCAAGGTGACTTGCTCATTTAAGGAGGGTCACAAGCCCTGCATGCTAATGAGATCGGCTTAGAATAATATAGATATAAGAATAAAAACAAGGTAAGCCCCAGGACACCATGTGCCCTGCAGCCATTTCAACCTGCTGTTCTTACTGCTTCCACTTTGCCTGCCTGCTAAAGCAAGGCTGTTGCCATAGCAACCAAATCTCCAGCGCAGGCCTGGGCCCTGGGAAGGGTCCGTTACTGCTCTAAGTAGGGAAGGGGCTAAGACGGTTTAACAGCCTTCCAGAGCCAGTTAGGATGTCAGATGGCCCAGACCTGGTCGGAAAGAGCTTGAGGTCAGGAACAATGCCGGGGCAGAAACCCGGGGTTTCTGGGGAACTCCCAGCTCAGGCTGAGACATGCTACAGAGTACAGTTTCCAGCCCACATGGAACCCAGAGCTGCCCAGGCTAGGACACAAGGCCACTGGCAGGGACAGCATATGATGGCCATGCATGCGGTCTTTTCCTGGACTCTCTCGCTGCACCTGGAACACGAGGGCCTAGCACCATGGCTGGACGACTGATGAGGACTCAGAGGGACAAGGGGTAGTGGCCAAGACCACACAGCTAGAGAATGAAAGCTAGGACTCCAACTCGGGCTGTCCCCCCAAGGCCTGCACTTCAGAAACCGACACTTGGGCGCCTGCATACCAGCCACCCTGCTTGCACCTGACTCACTCACACCCCCACAGAAGCCCATGGGGGTAGGCACAACCAGCACCCCTGCTGGACGAGCAAGGAAACTCTGCCCAGGGTCACACAGCTGAAGACAGAGCCCTTGTCCCCGCCCCTTGTGTTGGTGCAGAGCTGTGGGGGAAGCACAGGCTGGGAGGGGCTACAGAGGGCAAAGGGGGTCTGAGGACACTCACCACCTCCTCTATGGCTGCGCCGTCTCCCAGCAGCGGCTCCTGGGCCAGCAGGGACAGCACCAGCCCTTTGACACTGTGGGTGTAAAGGTTCATCCGCACGAGTCCCCCGCAGCACCCTGCCGGGGTCATCCTGGAGTCGATTCTGTCCGCAGAGGGGCCTGTGCCCGGGCAGTTCGCCAAGCCTGGACTGCACCCGGGACCAGGGGCCGCATGGCTCTCACGGGCCCCATCAACACACCGACCCGTGCCTTGTTCTCCCACGGGAAGCTCACTTCCTCCCTGCCCGGGATCTAAGTGAGGCGGTGACAAAGGCCCACTGGTCCTTCTGCAGTGGAGGTCTCCTCTGGGAACAGGGGCTTGGCTGCTGTTGCCAGCAGGGTCTTCACGCAGTCCTGGGGCTCCGTCCTGGGTCAGCATCTCGGGAGCGGAGGGCGGGAGCAGGCTGCGTGCAGTAGTGTCCTCTGGCGGCGAGGGTTCCGGACTGCTCGGGTCACTGACAGACTCCTTGTGGCAAGGGCCACTGCCATCTGGGACACATGCACTTGGGAAAGCAAAATGACCTGAGGACGTTCCCACTTCCGGAGCTTCTGGAATGTGGATTTCAGACCAGTCCAATTCCCCTTGGGGCAAGCCCAGTTCCGTCACCAGGGAGCGGCTCTCATGCAGTCCTGTGTGCCCGGCGCTGTCCAGATCGTGACCAAGCAAGTGTCCATTCTCCCTCCTGCCACCTGGCCACGCCTCATCGGGGGCCGTGGGCTCCGGGGTGGTTGCCGACACACCGGCCATGGAAGCCACATGCCCGCCGGCATTTTCATGCAGGGCCAATGTGCTCCCACCCTTTGGGGTGTGCTGGGCTGAGCCGTTGTGGACTCTGGCTGGAGACGCAGGAGAGCTAGCGAACAAGACAGACATGAGGGAGGGCACGGAGACTGAGTGCAGGGCATGCGCCCTTCCACGCATCAACGATAATGGGGTCCCTGAGGCCACACAGGCTGAGATGCCACCTGGGTCAAATCACAGGAGTAATGACAAGGCAACGTCTGGCCCTTGGAGTTTCACGTGGAGTCACCGAGATCACCTACTGAAAATGGCAGAGCCCACTTGGAAGGTCCACTGTGACTCAGGCCCCTTCCTGGATGCTATACATAGACTATTTTCAATGAGTTCACAACGAGCTCATGAAGGAGATATGACTGAGTCCATTTTACAGATTACAAAGTTGAGGCTCAGGCAGGGAATGGACTTGCCTAAGGCCACACAGCTAAGTAAGAGATCTAGGATGTGAAACACACTCCCATCCCACCACGCCGCGCTGCCTCTTATCACGTGCTCGAGTTCCAGGTGCTCACTTACGAGACAGAGTGGGGGGAGATGGAACTAAGGGGGATGAGATTTGTTTCGATGAACCACGGCGGGGAGTCCCTCAGGTGTGGTTTAAGGTTGGCCCCCGTGAGTTCCCTTACCTAGTCATCTGTCCCGCTGGAAACTCACAGAGACTGGTGGATTCCTCCTCGGTCACGAACACAGGGATAATCTGCACGCTCGGGGGCAACGCTGCTCCTGGAATTGCAAAGCAGCATGGACAGGGCTCTCCCCTGGGCCGGGGGGGGGGGGGACAGAGAGGCAGTAACTGCTCTTGGGGTGACGCAGCCAACCCCACACCAGCCCAGGTGGTATCACTGCGAATGCATTCCTCCGCCCAGGACACGAGCCCCACAACTTCGGCTCTAACTCCTGTGACTAGCAAGGAGGGAGCCCCTGCAGGCAGCACAGCACCCCGCTGTGGAGGAGGGAGATGTTTGGTGCAAGAAAGCTTAGTGACACTTAAAAAATAAAAAGATACAGGATGGAAAAAAGCACTTCCAACTGACAAAGGGATCTGCGCCACTCAGGCTTCAGAATAAAACAGAATCACTCTCCTGGGCACGCCTCCACATCCCGCGAGAGGTCTTCCTGGCAGTCGCTGCCCTCTCCCCACCACCAGCCCCTGGCACTTGTCTGAGCAACCTCACAATACTGAGTCAAGGGGGAGCTGAGAGCAGGGACTCGAAAGGTGTGTCTAAAATCACAAGCTTTACAGTTAGGGTTCTGGTGGGTAACCCTGTTCTAGAAGCCCCATTATATCCATTTTCCTAATCTTATGAGCAGAAGAAATAAACAGGATTGCTCCGCCTTCCGTGTGACTTGTGCAGGGACAGGTAGCATCAAAGACTGCCATTCTCAAGAGGCAACGACGGTGCAGCTCGCCACTCACCATGCTCCTGCGGGGCGTCCCCTCCCGTGGGCAGTCTCTGAAAACAAACACACACAGAAGCTGGCGCCGGGCACCACAGTCTCCTCTTGACCTAACCGTCAGGAATTCACTGTGCCATCTGTTCATAAAACTTTGCCAGGTCCAGAAGGCTTGTCCCAACCACATGCTAAGAGCCAAGCAGATGGAACAGAAGCCCCCCCCAAGCTGCTTGTCCCCACCACAGCTGCGACAAGGCGAGGACCTGGGCCCACACGGGCCCCAAGGCAGCAGCTCCACCCAAACTCCTGTCATGCGTAGGTTCGGGTTTTCTCAGCCTCTCCCCTCTGGGGATAAAAGCAAGAATCCATGTTCTTTTTTATACCTTTGGGGAGCTCACGTTCTAGAACACTGCCACATCTGCCACAGGCCCTGATACAGAATTCACACAAATTCCATTATAAAAAATTTGAAAATCCTGCAACCCTCACTATAAAGGATTTGACCTGGACAGAACGCTACGCCAGATCTTTTTTATTCTGGTTCACAATCAAGGCCAGAAACCTGGGGATTTTCTCAAAAGCAAAAACAAAATCTTTCATCTCAACCAGAAGGTTCCAAAAGGACCCACCAAAACAAGCAAAAACCAAACAAAAACTCTTCTAGCCAAAATGACTTTCACTATTAAGAAATGATACAGCTTGCTTTCTTTTTTGGTGATTTTTAAAAATCACATTGCACATAGTACTAAGCCATACATAAGCTTACTTGAGACAAAAATTCTTAAAAAAAATAAATACATATAATCTCCCAAGCTCAAGCTAATACAGTTAGTACTGGGTATTGTTTTCTTTAAGTCTACACATTCCTTTATACTTTTGAGACATGATATAAAATTCTATTTTTATGCTTAAAATAATAACAGGCAATTCCTGTCTGCAAAACATCTTTGGCCAATTTAAGTGGCCAACTACAATTTTGTGAATGTTACAGTCATATGGGTGAATGAATCATTCCCCTACCTTAGACCAGTGGTTAGCAGACCTTCTCTATAATGGACAAAATGATAAATATTTTCGGCTTTGTGAGCCATTAGGCCTCTAGCCCCACCTATGCAACTCTGCTGTTATACTTGGAAAGCAGCCCAATAAAACTTTATTTGTAGCACATGGCCCACGGCCACAGCTGGCCAACTCCTACCTTAGACATTTTAGTCTCACCTGATTTTTCACCTTCATAAAGCCTGTTGTGATAAAGTTTCGAGTACAAAATTTTTCAGCAATTAGATTATTTCCTTAGTATAGATTCCTAGAAGCTGAACTATTAGTAAAATATACAGGGCATCCTTAATGCTCTCATTATCAAATTGTTTACCAGAAAGGCTGTTGGAACTGGCACCTCTACCAACAGTGGGAGCCTGGGCATAGCCCCCTAGCACTGAAAATGCCTGCTGATGTAGCAAGTGTAAAAAGAGAGCCTTCTGACACACTGGAAACCACAGCTTCCTACACGCCACAAAAGAAAACAAGGACTGACAGGGCTGTCAGATGCTAGCAGTGGTTATGTCTGCCCAATTTTACTCTCGATGAGTATGCGTGACTTTTTTCATTACAAAAACAATTAAATAAATAAAAATGGAATTCGTTTTAAAAAGTTTCTGTTTTCCTAAGTCTTACTAAAGATACATCCGTCTCTGAAAAATCTAGTTAATCTCTTTGACACAAAGGCTATCCTGTGGGAAGGCAAATTCTCGTCGATCTACTTGGTTGGAAGAAAACCCAGCTACCCACGCCTGCCAGGCGGCAGCAAACATCTTCTTCCCGCCTCACTGGTGGCTTTTAATTCTTGGGAAAACCACACACTGCAGGACTCGGGTGCTGCAACAGAATGAAGTGGCACAGCTGCACCATGGCTGCCACTCCTGACCCTTCCTGCCTGGGGGTCAGACCCGGCTGCAGCGGCAGGCGCTCTGGGGACGCGTCCCGACCAGGAGGGTGGGCTTTACAGTACCTGGGGCTGAGGTGCGGTTCGGTGAAGCAGGACCTTGGCAGTGAGGGAGGGCGGCAGCTGGGTGCTGACGATCCTAGGAGGTCACACACAGGAGCGAGAACACCGTGAGAAGAAATGTGCTGTAGGACACCTGGCAGCCCCTGTTGACGGGAATCTCTAGAACACGGCTGGCGGGAGTTTCACCCGATGGAGGGCACTCTGGGAGTGCCTACCAACGTTTATTAATGAAACGTCCAGACCCTCTGACTCGGCTTATACCAAGACATATGCAAAAGAATATTTATTATAGCAAAAACAATAAAGATATTTTAAAAATGGATAAACAACTGAAATGCCCATCAACAAGAGAGTAGTTAAATAAATAAATCATGGCATGGCCAGAACACCAAAAGGCGTGCAGCCCACCTAAGAATGCGTGGGCCAATAGGGACTGGTCAAGAAAGCTCTACTGGCCAGGAAGGTGGCTCACGCCTGTAATCCTAGCACTCTGGGAGGCCGAGGCAGGCGGATTGCTCAAGATCAGGAGTTCGAAACCAGCCTGAGCAAAAGTGAAACCCCGTCTCTCAAAAAAAAAAGGGGGGGAGGGGGGAAGCTATCTTTGATGGCTGCGTCACCAAACAGCCTGGAAGGCCCACAGCTGGTTCAGAACCATCACGATGACAATGGCAGGGAGGTTCGAGGGTGTGACACACACCGGGGACTTCGCTTGCTCCTTCCACACCCATCATCTCACGCTATTTGCCACAGGGAATCACTGTTTCCCAGAAGGGAAAATCGAAGCGAAACAACTTGCCCAAGGCTGTGCAGATGACCAGAAGAGAATGTGGGGTTTGAACCCCCGCCGGTCGGGCCGAGAGCTTCTCAGTGGCACAGCCATCTGCTCCCCAGAAGGCTCTGGGCACAGCGCTGCGGCCCTGCCCGCCCCGGGCGGTGAGGGCAAACCCTCCATGTGAAGAGAGGTCTGGAAGACGTGGAGTAGCTCGCAGGCACTCGGGCTCATGAAGAGGCCCTTGAGCTACACGAAGAAGTGCAGCGAGCTTTCAGAAGCCAGCCAAGACACGGACGCAGCCAAGAGGCTGGAAAGAGCCTGAGTAAAAGCCCTTGACACTACTTTGCAGAGCTGAGCCACGGCAGGCACAGCAGGCACGGTGGAGCCCTGGGCAGCGGGGGGAAGGCCGCCCACCGCAGGCCCGTTCCACACCCCCCTGACTTACAGCACTGGCCGCTGGCAATGTTGGGGACTTTGCACTAGTATTTTGTAGACTGACAACTATGACAGGATGCCTCACGCTGAGAATTACACGTGTCCCTTTCATAGTCCTGAATCTTTTCGGAATGCAACAATCTCCAACTTCCCAGCTTTGCTTAATGACAGGCTCATGCCCTAAATCCAGTCGAAACTGCCTGGTGTTTGCTAAACAAGCCCACTTGGAACAGGCCCGAGACTGAGCTCCCCGCCGTGATCTGGAGGCAGCTGGTGGTCAGCTCTGCAGCGGGGGATGGCGCTGGAGCAGAGGGGGCTGGGGTCACTCACAGTCCTTGATAGAGGATGCAGCCAGCGAGGACGTGAGGTGAGCGCTGGCAGGTCTGCAGAATGAGGGCTGCCTTCAGCAACAGCAGGGGCTCCACCTGTGCAGGGCGAGAGGCACCCATCAGCACAGGCAGCAGGGGAGAAGGGGGAGGATGGTTTGGTAGAACAGATGGACAGGCTGGAGCTCAAAGCCTAGGAAAGGGAGAATGTGTCACACAGTAAAATCTGTGCCATGCTTTGGGTCCATTCTACCTGTCCATACCCAGAACTGCTGACACCACAAAATGCCAAATTCTTGGAACAAGGAAGCCTCTCCAGACGCTGGGAGGTGCAGCAAATATGGCAAGTGGCTATTCGTAGGGGACAAAGTCGAAAGCCTAGGGGACCCTGTCTATCCATTCTGAGAAAAGAGGCAGTAGAGAGAGGACACCCTTTAAATGCAGGTATACAGATCATGGCACCAGGGAAATAAACCTACCCACCCAACCTCCACCGCCACTCTGAAGCACAATCCCCATGGCAACACAGCTGGCTGACATCTGACCAGGTCCCACTACTGTGTTCCATAACACAGAATGAAAATATCATGGTCTTGCACTCAGGAAAATATGCCTTAGGTCCACATTTCTTATAAGGAGTCAGTTGCCTAGAAGTCCCTACAAACATAGGAAAAACATCTGGCCTTGGTCAAGAATGGCCAGCAATAGTCAGCAGCCTCTTCCGATTTCTACCTGCCTGCTTGGCAGCTGGAACCCACGAGGACCCATTAGCTGTTGGAAGTCAGTGTTA